TTTTAATTGCCATTTTTTTCCCAGACCAGCTGTAGCTTCTATGTCCTGACTTTGATCCAACTACTTACTTTAACTCAAAGAAAATGTCTCCCAGAGACTATGTATATCACTGCAATGTCTCCATTCTTGACAAGCTTGCTGTTTTAACAGAATAGAATGCAAAGAGAGCTGAAGGAAGTGAAGCTCCCACATACTGGGGAAGAGAAAATTAAGACCTCTGTTTAGTAAATATTGGCACAAAAGTGCAGATCTTTAACCTAAAATAATACTGTGAACATGTGAGGTTAAACTTTCAACTGAGGCCATGTGAGATTAAAATTTCAACTGCTACCAATGTTAGCTTGTTTGCCTTTTCTGAGAAGCAGCAAATAAAAACATTTCCACGTGATATAGGACAATTCAGTATCTTTGGTCTTGAATGAGACACTGGCAAGGGTCTTTGAGGTCTTCCTAAGGAAGTTGTAAGGTGATATTACATTTGATATGACCAGAGCATTTAGACACGCTTGAGTCTTAACATTTTAAAATTATATCCAAACTGGATATCAGAATGAAATCAAATTTTTACAATAGAAAACTGGTAGTTGTTCAATGTATACACTCTAAATACCACTTATTTTGGGCATATTCTAGTGGGCTCAGGACAGAGCCATATTCAGCATTGAAGAACTTTATATGAATTGCTTTTTTGAGGGAAATGCCTTGCGAATCGACTCAAAGTTATTGTGTGTGGCTGATATGAGAAATAATCACCAAGATGTTCAAGTCTTTATCTCAGATATGTGGACAGTTAACTTTGTAGCAAATGGTGATTATGATTAAGAGATGCAGGTGAGGTCATAACAAATTTAAAGACGACAAACTATGAAGTGCTTATCATTATTAGAAATAATTGAAGGAAATGCTATAGTGCATTAGGTTCCCTTGACACAAAGCTTGAGAAAAGGATTTACGTAAGTCTGAAAAAACTAGAAAGGAGTGAAGAGCCCTATGAAAGGGGAGAAAGCTGAACAAGTTCAAGCCTCAGATATATTGAGTTTTGTCTTCATCCACTTAATAAAGGAGGGTTCTGAAGCAAAAACTGCAGTGTGAAGTTCCTCACTCTTCCTTCATGCAATAGGTGAGGGGTTTTTGCAATATACTGTTTTTGGTTTTTTTTCCTTTTGCAGTCAGTCATAGTGTGGATGCTTATCCTGTAGAGAAGGAAGACAGCTCTATGTAGGCTATTAGCAACTGCCACTCAAAAACTGGTAAGGGGAATAAGAGGGGGACCCTAACCCCCGCTGAAAACTCAATGCTTGAAAATATACACAGGTCCAAACATTCAACACCATCAAGTTATTTTCAAAAGGCAGGTTAATTTAAAATGTAATCCAATCACAGTTTCAGCAAATTAAAAATAAGTTTAAAAGTTTTGATCAGGAGCATAATGTGGGAATTTAGAGAATTAGAAAAGATGAGAAGGAAAGCACAGAGATTAATAAGAATGAAAATGGTGAAAACTGAATCTTGCGGCAGTTTCAAAAGGAAATAATGGAAAAGTAATGTTTGAATTAATTATACCTTAAAATTTTCCAGGCAAATGGGAGGGGTAGAGGGAAGGTAAATAGGGAAGACAAAAAATAAGAGAAAAGGAAAAAGAAATGGAAACAAAGCCTTTGTAAGTAGGGAAGGGTGGAGCGGCAAAGGGGGGCTATGGAAATGGGGAAAAATAAGACCCAAGACCTGTCCTGAAGAGGTACAAGATCCCAATGATGAATGCAACTGTATTATACATCTAAAAGGTACCAAGAAAAATATTTAAATTTTTTTTCTAGAATTTAAAGTAATTATCAGATTTTAGAAGTACAGTAAATAAAAAAGAGAGTGAATATCTGCAAATCATTGAAGATAAATGCGTTAAAGAGTTCAAAAGAAAAAAAAATCAGAAGAAATAAGACAGAAGAATTAGAAAGGAAATGGAAACTATTTCCAGATAATGGTTTCCTATATAGAGACATGGCATAACTAAGTGATTAAAGTTTAGTTAGAATTCTGAACATAGAAAAAAATGAATCTGTCAGTCTACATCTGTGTACCGCCAACTATTAGTTAAACGTTACATTTTAGAAAAGACAACGTGTGGAACAATAATGAAATTATAAAATGCTGAAGAAGATGTGGGATGCACAGTTCATTAATGGAGAAAATACCACTTTTTTTTGAAAAATGCTAAAGAAGTCATAAATAAATGGAGATAAATGTTATGTTCTTGGGTAGGAAATCTCAACAATTAAAGGAGTCAATTCTTCCAAAATTGAACTAAAACTTAATTGCTATTCAATTGAAATTTCAGCAGGCGTTTTTATGCAGCACTATTAATCCATTCTAAATTTATTTAGATATATTATATATTTATAAGTAAAATAAAAGGGCTCTGGATAACAGACAATCTTTACACAAAGAATTTGAAATTTAATCTAGCAGATACCAGAGACAGGTATGTTACAGTAATTCAGGCAATGTGGAATTGAGAAAAGAAAAAACAAAGGAGCCAAAACAAAGTATAGCTAGCCCAGAAAAAAGCACACACACCAGTGTGTTTGTGTGTGTGTTTGTCTCTATGTGTGTTGCTATGTGTGTATAGGAAATTAACTTATTGAATTACACGTTATACATATGATCTATATGGGAGAATATAAAGCAAATTTAACATTTCACATCACTCACAAAATTACTTTTAGATATATTAAAATTTTAAGATGGCTTTGGGATATAAGTTAGTAGCATAGCACTTTCCTAGCAAGTGAGAAGACCTGGGGCCAATCCCCAGCCATGAAAAAATAACTTCAAATTTGATTTACAACCTTTCTAAAATATTTGTTTAAACTTAGCATACAAACTCAGAATAAAATACTATGTAGCACTGAAAATGACAACAAATGGATAAATCTTACCAAAACACAATGTTGAACAAAAGCAGCAAAAGAATATGTGCAGGATCTTTGCATTTGTTCAGTTATAGATAGGTAAAATCAGCTAGTATATTTTGTGGCTACGTACTTAAGTGTAAAACTTTAAAATGTAAGAAATGATTTACACAGACTATAACTCACTGATTATCTCTGAATCCGGAGATAAGCAGAGAGGGGAGGATTTCCAGTGTTCTATATTTTCACTTGGGAGAGGAGCACATGGTGCTGATCATGCTTTGAATGATTTACATACAAATGGCTAAACTTTTAATGTGATTAACATGAAATAGTTTACAACATAACTGTATAAGCACGCTCAGCACTTTTCCTCACTCATGTACCTAATTAACTCATTCAGTGTCCTAACTCATAGTGTCTACTCTTTCATAGGAGTTGTAGTTTGTAATTCTACACTTGCTTGAGGGTTTCCACGTTGAATATCTATTTCTCTTATTAAGCTAAATAAATTCCTTGGAAACTGAAACTATGTCTATTTAGTTCACCACTGTGAGACTAGAAACAACTTCTATATGAAGCCACATATGGTTGGGTTTTAATGTTTATAGAACTCTTCCATCTATGAAGGTGAGTTTCACTGCATGAGTGGGAAACTCTACTAAGGCAATTATGTAATCACTCAGTTAAGTAAGATAGCATAAGTGGTGTAGCACAGTACATAATGTTTTCCATCTATAAGTAATCATTGATAGTGCAAGTTATTGACATTATTTTTCACATTTGACTTTACCATCTAAAGTAGTTGTCTTTTCATTTTGTTTAAATTTATCCAATGAAGACTGATGTTTATGTTTCAATCACTCTTTCTTACTAGTTTCCTGTGCAGATGCAGAATGTCTTGCTAATTCATAAACACTGACTGTGGCATCAACACTGAAAATGGGAAATCCATCAGGGCTGTGTTTAGCTTTACTTTTCATGGTGAATAAGAAGGACCTGTAAATGTGGGATAAAGAGGTCAAGAGATACAACCCTCATTTCCTAATTCTAATCTTCAGTCACTAGTATCTTGATGAGTCTCATTCACTACTACAGAGAAGAGTATAATCTAAACTCTTATCAGAGTAAGTTTCCATAGGAAAACAAGAGATTATGGAAACATAAAATTAAGGACAACCTTTGGAAACTATTGACTACAGACAAAGGTGAGTGAGGATATCAATTTAGTTTCAAGCAGCATTTCTTGAATGAGATAAATTACAGTAATGAATATCAGAGCACAGACATTTCATGAACATTTTTTTCTATACCTGCTATTTTAAAATTAAACCTGAGATGTTACTTACTCATTATGAGAGATGGTAATACAAAATAAAGGCTAGTGGTGATTTAATGAAGATAATTATTAAGCTGGGGATTTATCTCAGTGGCACCAGACCTGCTCTGTGAAGTCCTGAGTTCCATTCTTGTTTCAAAAAAAAGAAAAAGAGCTAATTATTGAAAATGGAAATATATGTCACCTTTCAGAAATGCTACAATGTGACAAAAATATCACATGTAGTCTATATGTAATTATAATTGTATTAATTAATACTGGCCTTTGATATTGAATATATTTTAGTGTAGACTGGCCAAAAACATGTTTGAAAGCCACTGTCATAGAAAATGTATTTTTCTCAAATTGGATGGAACATTATAAAATCATACATAAAACTGAATGTTCAACAATTATTTGTTAAAAACCTTTGTAAATTAATAATAAAGTAATATTTCCAATTTTGACCCAAGAATTCCATGTGCATTATAAAGCTGTCAGAAAACTAATCAAACCAACAAAATCATTTCAAAGCCTGTGAAATGTGGTAGGTAATAAAGAATATAAACCCAATGGATCTGCCAACCATCAAGAAAGAAGATAGCCACATACATTCCTCAGACTACAGTCACTTTAGAAAATGAGATTTTTTTGTAACATATATGATTTATTGGCAGTTACAGTTAACAAATTTTGAAATATATCTTAATAATTAAAATGTGAACAGTAAAATTGCTACACAAGCTTTCAGTAAAACTTTGCTAAAGTTACTCTAATGAAACATTGCTAATCTTTTACTTATACAGACTCAAGTACAGAAGTGAGCAAATTGACAAACTTATAAACATCATGAAAAGAATTATAGAGAGGAACTGGAGCGACTCGAATGCCATGGGGTTCTCTCTTGTCACACTAAGGAGAGAAAAAAAATTGAGGTCAAAATATTATTAGCATCGTTCATATGCTAAAAATCTACATTTTAGTTCAACTTTTATAAAGCATTCACATTGACTTCCCTAAACCCTGTTATATAGGTACATTTTGTCACTTTAAGTAATATAAGGTATTTCCTTTATTTGAAACTGTTTTCTGAATGATGGTTAAAATCATAAGAGGTCAGAACATGAATATCCAAAGCATCTTGTTGAACTCTACTCAGCAATTACCTTATTTTAGCATTAAACAGATCAAGGGTCCCCAAACCCCTGGCTGAGGACTTGTGCTGGGCCATTAGGACCAGGCTGCACAGCAGGAGGTGGACTGGTGAGCTAGGGCAGTTACTTCTCAAGCTGAGCTCTGCATCCTTTGAGCTCAGTGGGGCACTGGCTTCTCAGAAGAGCAGGAACTCTACTGTGAATTCTACTCGTGAGAGATCTGGGTTGCTGCTCCTTAAATTATACTCAAAGCATCTGGCCACATGCCCATACTCCACCTGTCTGTGGAAAAATTATCTTCCATGAAAGCAATCCACAGTGTCTAATCATTAGAAATTGCTGATCATAGATCCTATTACAGTTTTGCAGAGAGGAAACTCTGGAGAAAAGAAAGCCTTGGACACATTTAAGTGAATTAGAATGTCACAGGGATCTAGAGATCTTCAGCATAGTGCCCTTGAATTCAATCCTCTGACCTCTGATCCCACAAATAATGAGTTGGGTATATTTTGGGGAATGTTGCTAGGTCTAGATAATTTGACCTGAACTGAAAATCAGCAGGGTTGATTTTATGAAATAAATATTAATGCCTGTATAATAGAGTATATAATCTGTGTGCTGTCCCATTAAATTCCCCAAAATACAGATGAGCTATTTCAAACCAAGAGATCTTCATGACCTTTTCCAAGAACACTCAGCTTGGAAAGGGCTGAGGTTGGTAAGTAATTCTGATTTTCTTATTTGTGCCTCTGGAATCTGCGGTGATTTTTCCTAAAGATTTGAGGGTGACATAAGTGAAATGATGTCTAAATTATATTATCTTTAGAAATATATTAACATCTGTTTCCCCTGAAGTTGTTCAATTCATAATTTCTTAGCTCTCTTTAAGAGGTTAAGCATGCCATTTAGGCTTATGAGTTTAAAAGAAAAGAAGAGAGAAAAACAAACCATTATTTCGTCTAGTGTTATTATCTTTGACAAACTGATAGGCATAAACATAGCAGTACAATCAAGCAAATAAATAAGGCAAATTTCTTTTTTGTTTATTTGTTTTACTAAAGTATGTTCTTTTGTTTTGTATATAGAATAAATATATACTGAGGATTATATAATTCAAAACTATTGAGTTGAAAAATATATTCTAATCTATTATGATGAAATAATTTCTTTTTGCATGAACAGTTATGAAAAATATTAGTAATACATTATGTAAAAATTATTTCTCATAACCAAAATTTGTACTTATCAGAACTGATAGGTAGACAGGCCTCAGTGCCTTTCAGTTTGCACAGTGATGAATGTTTAATCCACAGTGTACCTCAACTGACTGATTATTAACTATGAAAAGATACACAACCATGAGGAAACCCAAGAACACAAACTTTATCGCCAATATGTAGGCCACACTGAAAACTGAGCAGCAACTCAAGCGATATACTTACCACCACTCCTCTTTTTTGTAGTTCTTCAAAAACATCTTTTTGGGTTCTAGAAAATGCGAGTGTCAACTGGCAGCCCCGCTCCTCTATATGGGATGGTGTAATTATGTTCACAACTGGTCCCTTGATTTCTGCTTTCTTTTTGGTACGGTAAAGCTTGATCATGTATTCCAGATAACCAGTTAACAAAATGGATTTGCTCCTCAATGCTTTTAAAGTTGCTTGCTTAAAGATCTATAGAACGAGAAACAATCAGATTAACAGTGTCATACTGAATTGCAAAGGAGTAAAAAAAAAAAAATAAGTGCAAATCAAGCATAAAAAGAAAGTGTCCACTTTTGACCTATCCAGTAAACATCTCATTTTAAATAATTTATTCTGTCCAAACATGACATTTTTTTTATGTGTTACCACTAAATATTGGAGGCAAATTTTCTAAGACAGGAAACAATGTACAAATGTCATTTAAATAATATTTTCTTTTTTTTTCTTTTTTTCTTTTTTCTTTTTATTTTTTTTGGTACCGGGGATTGAACTCATCTAAATATTATGAAATTTTAACTTTTTCCTAAAACCATTTTGCCAAATCATAACCAAAAACATTTTCTATATCTGTATGTATACTTTCTTTGGTCCACAAAAAGTGCAGTAAGAGATACACATGTCTGTCTTGTGGAAGGTGATTATCTGTAATGGATTTACCGATTCCTAAATCTCCCCAAATTAGAAGTTAGAAAACCCGCAGTTAAATAATGAAGTGAAGATTTTTCAGAAAGGGAAGCCAGGAATGTTCCAAAAATATGTTTATTATCACGGAAGTACGTGGGCTTTCTTTTTTCCTTCCTTTCCCCTCGTCTTTCATCATTTTTTCCCCTGTCAAACTCTATCACTAGTGTGAAAATACTGCAATTTGCTGCCTGAGGTGCCTTGTATTAAGATGAATGACAAGGCCACACAATAACTGCTGTGGGAACATCAGGGGTCAGAACGGATGTGCTTTCTGGTTTATGCTTTAAGGTCAAGTAGAGTTTAAAAATATATCCTTCACAGAGGAGCTGAGTGAACCGCTAACAGCACAATGCACTGGCGTGCCACCGAAGGTGCCTTTTCTATGCGTTCCTAAATCACGGGCAGAAGTATCAAAAACAAGAATAGGGGGTCGTGTGGTGATATCTGGACTTTATCAAGTCTATGAAGACAGTTGCTTTTGTATGGCAGTCATTGGAGCAGAGCTCAAACCTCCAGGCACTGGTTTTCTGGTACAATACTGAGTGGATCCTAAGCCTTGGCTGAAGGAGGGGATGGATGTGTGGAAGGTAATTGCATTTACAGAAGATGTGGGGAGCAGGGAAGACAGAGCGGTATGCTTCACTCTTCAAGAACCCCTCATGCACTAGGGCTGAGACCTGTTAAGATATCAGCTGCAATCTCTGGCTGATATCTGTTTTCAGAAGGCACCTGAGGTCTGCAGGCAAACAACAGGACTTTCGGAGTCAAGGGACCTGAGTTGTATGGAATTGATTGGAGCCACTTCTTCATTTCCTTAGGTAAAGCAAAATGTAAGTAGCCATGGGATAAAAAGGATTCAAGGGAATTCAGCTGAGTTTTGGATCAGTATTGTTCCAGAGTTAAGGAGCAGGCACTGGCAAGACACAGCCCACATGTAGTTTGACTGGTAAAATTTGGAATAAAATACTACAAGAACAATTTTCCAAGATTCTCTCTGAGTATTGATAATATTCTAGATATATTTAATTAAATAATTCTATAAAATATTCTAATTCTACTATTGGCCCTGTAATATATATGTAGGGTCATGTATGAAGTACAATTGTCCCTCAGTGTTGGTAGGAAATATCAAAATCTGCACGGCTCAACTCCCTAGCATAAAATGCGATAATACTGACATATAACCTAATATACCCTCTTTTTTTGTTATCTCTTGTTATTTTTTTAACCTTAGCACTTGGGCATGCTAAGCAAGTACTCTACCACTGAGATACAGCCTTAACCCTTCTTAGATATAGTTTAACTCATCTCTAGATGACTTTAAACATTGAGTCCAATATAAATGTTATATAACTAGTCGCTGTACTACATTGTTTAGGAAATTATGCTAAGACAATAAAAGTCTGCACATATATAATATATTTCCCAAATATTTAGTATTTTAAAAATAGCTCGGAAGTTCATTAGTTCATAGCTCCTTAGTTGCATTTATAAATTAGTAATTCTTTGGAGAATATTACTAGTAGCTTTTTTAGGTTGCTTTTAGAGGTTTTTCTTGATAGCTAGACATTATTTTTATGACAAACTGTCCAAATTTTAATATACTATGAATGTCGTTTCTCTTTAATAAAAAAGTTTTTAAATATGAAAGTATTTTCTACATTATGGGCACAAAATAATCCCAATGAAGGGAAACTATGTTCTGAGGTTTCATGTAAAATTAATAAGAGGGGCTGATAGGAGTTATGAGAGAAATAGAACATATATCCTCTTTTCTTTTTTTGCCAGAAAATTCTCTCCTTTTACTACTTAGAAATAATTATATTTTAATTAGAAAAAGTTTTAACATGTAGTTTAAAGGCATTCAACTTGTAACAGAATTTTGGCAGTTTTTGCTGTGGGTTACTTTTTCTTAATGAATAGAATGAGCACAAAGCCAGAAAAGCTAAAATTAAATAGAAAAAGTTCGCATAGTATGATATTCTCATTGTCAGATTTTTCTCTTAAATTCTTACAGTGGTTCTGTAATGCCACTGTGAGGAAAGGTACATTTGTGTGTTGTTCTTTTGAGTCTTCTGAATTGCCACATATCTTAATTAAATTGCTCTGTTTTTTATTTTGAAGAAGCAATTTATTTCACTAAGAATTTAAACAATGAATGCATCTAAAAATTGTCTACCTGTTCCTGTTTATAAACACAAACCTTCAAAATATAATATACATAAATTGCAAGTAAATCCCTGGAAGCATGAGGGACTTCGAAAGTACTCTACTATAAATAACTTCATTTTAAAAAGGTGGCAAATTAATTCAAAAGTGATAATTGCTTGTTTAATGTCATATTTAGTGTGTGCTGTGGAATGGGGTGCTTGCTTCCTCATTCCTAATCTAATTTCTATTTCCCTTCATCCACAATATTTTTAAATGACTGTATAAATGATTATGATCCAACAATATAAAGAAAACGTTTGAAACTGATTATTAAGCACTCTTTTAATGATATCAATCTATTATATGATAATATGATTTTTAAAAGCCATACTAATATCTGTTTGAAATTATTATATTGAGAATCTGAGGTCATTTTCATGCACAATTGGTCCTTAAGGATAGACTCTCTCCTCCAGATGTAGAGTATTTCTAGAAAGAAAAGTATTGAAATAATTCAGAGGCTGTGAATTTCTTTCTTCCACTTACTCAAACTTCATTCACATTATCTCTTACAATGGAATAATTGTTTTTAAGAGACAAGGTAAATACTGATATGGCAAATTCACTGATCTTGACTCAGATAGGTAACTCAGAAATATATAGAAAATGGGATAACAGATAATGAGAAACATGTATTATTGTATAATTTAAAAATTTTACAATTTATAGTGAGGAGAATGGATATTGAAAAACACTTCCACCAGTATAAAACTTGACTATCTAAAGATAATTCTGGTCAGAACAAAGTTCAGTAGTGAGTGACTTTCACAGGAAGCTCTAGAGAAGAATTTAAGTGATCACAGACTCCAGAGATATGTACATCCTTCTTCCTTTGGTTTTCAGGACCCTTTTGCTGGGTTTAAGTTTAATATTATTGGGGAAAATTAATGCAATCTTCAGAGTCTGAGGATGAAAACTATGCTTAGGTGAGTAAAAACGGTGTAGTAGGAAAAAAGTAGCAATATAAGCAAGAGTTTGCCTCTTTTCTCACATCACGAGGAGGGTTGGGAAAAAAGCCAGCTCTCTGCCTGGAATATATAAAAATGAGGGTTTCTGAAAGGAAATTTTTAGATATGCCTGAGAAGCCATTTTGTAAAGATAAGAGAAATCAGAGGAAATTATGTCAAGGGCCAGTCCTTCCCCAAGGCATGATTGGCTGCCTTTCATATTTTACATCATCTCCGTGAAAGAAAGAAAGAAGGAAGGAAGGAAGGAGAGAGAGAGAGAGAGAGAGAGAGAGAGAGAGAGAGAGAGAGAGAGAGAGAGAGAGAGAGAGAGAGAGAGAGAGAGAGAGAGAGAGAGAGAGAGAGAGAGAGAGAGAGAGAGAGAGAGAGAGAGAGAGAGAGAGAGAGAGAGAGAGAGAGAGAGAGAGAGAGAGAGAGAGAGAGAGAGAGAGAGAGAGAGAGAGAGAGAGAGAGAGAGAGAGAGAGAGAGAGAGAGAGAGAGAGAGAGAGAGAGAGAGAGAGAGAGAGAGAGAGAGAGAGAGAGAGAGAGAGAGAGAGAGAGAGAGAGAGAGAGAGAGAGAGAGAGAGAGAGAGAGAGAGAGAGAGAGAGAGAGAGAGAGAGAGAGAGAGAGAGAGAGAGAGAGAGAGAGAAAGAAAGAAAGAAAGTAGGAAGGAAGGAAGGAAGGAAGGAAGGAAGGAAGGAAGGAGAGAGAGAGAGAGAGAGAGAGAGAAAGAAAGAAGGAAAGAAAGAAAGAAAAAGAAAAGTGAAAGATAACTTGCAGAGTTGGGTAGAGATTCACTATATTTTAAAATCTTCAAACAAAATTATTTATCTAAATGGATATTATAATGCAACTCAAATATTGGTGTCTGGCCTAGTAATCATATTTTACTTTAAAAACTTTTTAAAATAGTGTGTCTATGGCTGGAAATCTTGTCACTGGGTCTATTTCCCAATTTTAAAAAAAGCCAACGTGAACACAGCACACACTCCATCTAGTGGTCAAACTGGTTAGGTGCGTTCTAAATCGGGGTGAAGCGAAAGTGAGATTATTCCTATAAAGTGGTGAGGCTGTATTAAGAATAGAGGAATATTTTATCTTTATTAAGTTTACTCGTACGAATATTTACAGAATTCAAGAATAAAGAATTTAGAAGAAATTTTAACTCTATCCCTTATTAGATGCTGAAATCCTCCCCAAGATTTCCTAAACTGTCATAAAATTGATGATTTTAGATTATAGAAAAAACTTCAAATTTTTCTTTTAGGAGCTCTATATATAAACCTTCTGGATGTAGCTCAGAGCCATGCTTTCCTGGAAAGTGCAAGGTCCTGAGTTCAATTCCTGCTTCCAGAAAACAAAACAAAACAGAAACTCTTCTGTTAGAATATTTATGCATATTTACTAAAATACTCTATGCATTTAAAATTATGCTCAATCAAAGGCTGGGGATTTAGTTCAGTGGCATTACGCCTGCCTTGCACCTGGAAGATCCTGAATTCAATTCCTGGTACTGCAAAAAAAAAAAAATTGTTCAATCAAAGCTTTTGTACTTAGGGTGGGTCTTGAGAGGGGAAAAGAGATAAATAAAATACAATTTATTTTTAAAATAAAATAAAATCATGTTTTATTAACATATTATATCATTAACATATGATCCATAATTATTAACAACATATATTTATATGAGTGAATTTAGCCTAGCCCTAAATATGACAAAGAAATGTTTATTTTTCTATATATGCACACATATTTTTATCTCTTTTAAAAATATGCACATTTGTATATATAACATACATATTATACATACAATACATATTACATGTATAGCCTAACTATAAATGTTAATTTTAGGATGAGACTAAATTTAAACCAAAATATTAATTAATTTAAGATAAAACAGTGCCGGGGACTTGGCTCAGTGGTTCCGCTGCCTGCCTCGCAAGGGCCGAAGTTGGATCCCCGGTGCAAAAATTAAAAAAAAAAAATGAAATATTGACATCATGGTAAAGATTATATATGGATATAATGACAAGGAAGCCCCACAAATAAAGTAAAAATCTACCTTGTATAGTGTGGCGACCTTTTTTAATATTTGGCTTATTTTAGCTATTCATACCCTCTTCCCACACTAAAGTAAGTCTACTTTAGCTTTGTTATATAGCAATTTTCCGATTCATTAGTTCGTGAAACTGGATGAAACAAGATTTCCAGTAACTATGTCTGACCCCTAATACTTTCCCAATAAATACCTGTTGCTTGAATGAATTGATGTAGCATTAAATATTACAAGCTTATTTTGTTTAAAGGAAAACCCAGAGAAGGTCAAATAACTTATTCAACTTCACTAAATGGAACACAATGTCTCTCCAGGTCAATTCCCGGTATTATTTATGGTCAACCAAGTGCCAAACACCATGATAGGGGTGGGAGATACAAAAGGAAAACTGTGAACATTCTATAGTCGCCCTCTCAACAGAAAGAAAATCTGCCTTTTGTTCATTGTCCATTCAGATTGCATATTTGTAATATTGTTGATTAGCAGAGAAAGCACCACAATCTGGAACAACCAGGTAGGGAGAAGAGCTAAAGATATGAGAAAGTTGAAGCGTAGATGTCCTACCTCCAAACTGGCATGCAGGGAACAGACCAGCAAAATGGGAGGATTGGAAATCCGGAATCCACTGACCCCAGGGATTAACTGCAGCTCTGAAAAAATGTATACATGCTGATTATTATAGAAGATACATTAAAAGAAACACCAAATTAATAAAGAAATAAGAGAGTAAAAGAGTGAAACTAAAAAAAAAAAAAAAACCTTTCATTCTTAGGCAGATTTTCTGAGTTAAGAGAAACTCAGTGGGATGAAAATATTAGCACTGAGTTGGTTAGCTTTCCATTTCTGGGACATAATACCAGATGCCCACAGTTTAAAGGAGGAACGGTTTGTTTTGGCTCTACTTTCCAAGATTTTATACTATGGTCCACTGGCTTCAAGGGAGGATGGCGTGGTGGGGGAAAGCTACTTAACTTATGGTGAACCGGAAGTAACATGGCAGCTAGCACTGCTCACTCCATGATTGCCAGGAAGCAGACAGCAGGGGAGGAGCCGGAGTGGCAGGGGCTAGAGACCAGATACAGTCCACAAGGTTATAACCTACTGACTCACTCTAGAGAGCCCCACCTTCTAACCGCGCATTCAGCCTCGAATTCGTCATCGGGCTGACACGTCGATGAGTTGAATGCCTTCACCATGCAATCGCCTCTTCAGAAATGAACTAACCCAGGCGAGCTGACGATCAGGATTAACTGGCACAAGCGCGCCCCTTCCCTTCTCTGTGGCAGTTCCCATCTTCCCTGTCCCATCATCTCAGTAGATGAGGAAATGAAAGGACCTTTCACACAACAGAAATTGATCTCTTCTAGGTGTTCTTCTGGGCCAGCCCTCTGCTTTCTGAGTCCCAAGCCATCATTCCCTAAGCACTCCATGTTTTGCTTTTTGTTATGAAGACTTGCCAGGAGAGAGAACGTCCAGATTCCAGGGACATGTAATTGTAATGTCACCCAGAGGCGGGACAATTAATAAAAATGACCTACCAAGGTGACTATTAGCTCTAGAGTTATTAGCTCAATTGGCCTTTTTTTTTTTTAGGAAAAAAGAAACTTTTGTTTCTTTGTAAAAAGAAAAAGATCTACTTAAGTAATATATATTCAAAAGATAAATTAATGGCAGATATTATCATAATTAGATTAAGTACAATGAATTATAGCAAATCACCTATAAATCCAATATAGTTAAGATAGTTATTTAGGAATTAAGGCAAAATGTTGAAAATTCATAGCTCCTTAGGAATGCATTTAAAATGTGACTAAACTATGATGTTTACATACATTAATTGTAATGTGGTCACCATCATTTATCTGTGTTTCCCTAAAGGTCCTTCACTACCATAATACAAAGCTGAGCATTTGCCACAGAGATTACAGAACTCAAAATTTAAAATATTTTCCACTAAGTTTTCCATCCCTGATCTGATCAAATTTCTTTATTTACTCAGAAGAATACCCTAGCTCTAAGACTTTAAATAACTGACTTAGAGTCTGTTATTTCAGGGTCCAATATAGCACACAGGTTTCCTGACTTAACTGGAACAGTCCATCCCAGATCATTGAATCATAAACACTGAAGTATGTTTAAAATAGTGTCTCAAGATTGGCAGTATTCTGAAGGATCTAGTTTATGCTGTACCCTCAAAACACTTAATGATGCTTTCTGTTTTGCATAGTTTCATTTTTAGCCACTGGAGATTGAGTTAAAGCTACATGTCATTTATTTTATAGCTTTGAATTGGATATACAGTTATCCAAATCCTGAAATATATATTACTCATATTAGGTATGTGAGCAACAAAAACAATGACCTCCCCAAAATAACTTTGATTCCCAGAATCACAGAAGTGTTAAGCAGCAATTTAGACTGACATCTCAATCTCTCAGGATCTGACCTCAGGTGACAAATTTGCTTCTGCTTTTACTGCCTGATGTTTGGACACCACGTGGATGGGATCTGATTGCACTGCATGAGCTGTGTATTAGGGTTCATTTCCTTTTATCTCTGTACAAAGAAAGAGATTCAATATCATGCTAAAATCGACTAACAGTCTTCCACACTGAAAATGTCATTTTTTATTTTAAGAACTCTCAGTGACATTTTCAAATTGCACTCTTCATAGGGCATATAATACAAAAACAGATGAAAATTGAAATAAAGTTAAGATAACATTTGAAATGAAATTCAGTATACTTACTGTTATCCATTTTAAATCTGGTGCTAAGTTCATGACCAAACCATCCCACTAACCTAAAATATAAGACAATATTAGATAGTTTAATCTATTAAAATTCTACAAGTAGTTTTGAAATTTAAATGATATTATAAATAATAATTTTAAAGAGTATTAAAATCATTTGTGATTTACCATTGCATACTTAAGCAGATAAATGCTGCATGATAGTATAAGGCAATTGATATTTATAATTTTTTCAAGAAGAGGGTTAAATCAACTTACCCATAGTAATACTTATTCAATATGTGTGCAGTAAAATTACCTAAGTTATATTTAACACATTTTTCTCATTTAAAAGTAATTTCAAGATGGTGAACTGGAAGCAAACCAAAACTAGAGACAGGCCATGCATTAAGGCAAGCGAGGCTGGAAAGGTGCTAAAGTTCATCAGTAGACAATGACTTGGAAAAACCCAGAGTGGAGAATGGAATGGAGCAAGAGAAAAAGTGCCCTGGTAACAAGTGCAAGGCAGTGCAGCAGAGGCTGAGGGCAGCCAAAAAGGGGGGGAGAAAGAGAGAGGCTCAACAAGTACAACAGCACAGAAACCAGCATGGAACAGAAGGACAATGGGACCATCAATTATAAACGCATCTTGACTGGATTTGTAGGAGCCTACCAGCTTCCTAAAGCATACTCCTGGGTGAGCCATGGGGACTGTGGTGTAGTGAGCTGCGGGAGTGAATTTGGTGACTGTCTGGTTTCCAGCCCTTTTTCTGTGCAGTGTTCTTCAGCCATGCTCTGCTTCTGGGCTGCCATGAACTAAGCAGCTTTACCTTCCCAGGCCCTTCCATCATTCTGTTTCTGCCAGCAAGCACAGACTGAAACCTCCAAGACTATGAGAAAAAGTCAATCCTTCCACTTTTATGAAGTACATGTTAGGAATTGGTGTCAGCAACTAAAAGCTAACGAATAAAGGTGGTGTGAAACAGATGATCTGGGATCCGCATAGTGGACCTGTGTTGGAGAAGCTCCTGTGCTCACCAACTATGCCCAGAGTGCTTAATAGGGCTGTTTTGAGAAGACCCTGTCTGAGCTCACTGCTTTGGAAACGAAGGTCCCTGCCTTCTCCTATTCTTGGGGACATTCAGAAAATGGTACTATATTGTCTCCTTGGCTTTCTACCTTGAGAGCCAGTTTGGCCCTGCGGTAGCACCACTGAAGCAAAACAAACTGTGCCAAGGCAAAGCGGCTGGTGATCTGGAAGGGAGTACAACTCACTCCCCAGTGAGTGACCCTGCCAGCTGCGTCTCAGAGACCAGAATTGTGGGTTGTAGGTTGTGTGGGTCCTGTCAGGTTTGGTAGCTTCCCTGCCCTCAGAGAAGGCTTCACAAAGGGCACTGGAGATGCAGACATACTGTAGCGTCTTCACCCAAGCCCATTGAGCTAATGTCTTGGAGAAAGTTACTGTCAGAGGAACTGGTGAACAGAACAGCTGACATCTATTTCAACTGGCTTTAGTCCCAAACTATTCCCAATCTAGGCAAGCACACAAAAATAAGGAAGGGGGAAATAGTCCTCTGCCTTTGCAGAGGTGGTACTCTTTTTATTTTTTTTTAAGACCCCTTCCTTTGGTATTTGATGTTTGGAGCAATACATACTTATTTTAAATGTTTCATTTTTTTTCTTAATATACAATATTTTTAAGTTGTATTTTATTTCTTTAAATAATTTGCTTTCAATTTCTACCTTTCACTTGCTTTCTCTTCTCTTTTTGAATTTTCTAATTTTTGGATTTTCTTTTTTTCTCTTAATTAACATTTTAAAAAGTTTTTCAACTTTTCAGTGTATGCCATATTACTTTTGTCCCCACTATTCCTCTTATTAGTAGCATTGTGGATACTGCAGTTTTATATTTTCTCACTTTAATGTAGATAATAAGAAAGAAAGTATTAAAGAAAATCACTCCTATGGAAAAATGAAACAAAATTTTAAAACAAAATAATTTAAAATTAAAAATAGTATACTGCATACCATAATATTAAAAGAATAGCCAAAATGTTATCAGAACAAAAGGATATTGTCATTTTAACTGGCTTTGCTTTATTTCTGTATGTGGTTTGCTTCAATTTCTTGTGTTTTTTTTTTTTTTTTTCTTCCTATTTCA